CCTATTTTGAGGTCTATTGGTCTAGCGTTTCGGTCGTAAAGGCCCTTGGAATGTAGTTTGGCCTTTTCTAGGTGGTCGAAGGCGAGTTGGTGAATTTTTTGCAATTTGTTAATTACGTCTACCATGTAATCGTTGTAGGTATGTATTGGCTCATCTTCGTCGGTAACGTTGGAGGGGAGAACTGCCCTTTTTCCATACAGGACTTCAAATGGTGTGAAATTTGTTGAGCTATGCACAGTAGTGTTGTACGATAGCATGGCGAAGGGGAGTAGCTCATCCCAGTCGGTGAATTCGTCGATATAGGTCTTCAGATATTTGGCTAGTACGTGATGACTTCTCTCAAGGGCTCCATTAGACTGAGGTCTATATCCAGATGTCGTTATATGGTGGAATCTCAGGACCTTTCCCAGTTGATTGAACAATTTGCTGAGGAAGCTGGTCCCTTTATCTGAGAGGATTATCTTGGGGCATCCGTACAGGGCTACATACTTGGTTGCTAGTGCATGAGCGATAGTGTGAGCCTTGATATCCTTAAGGGGTACAGCGGTGCAGTGCTTGGAGAAGTTATCTTGTATCGTCAAGATATGGCAGTGACCCATACGTGTAGCTGGGAGGGGGCCTACAGTGTCGATAGAGATTCTCTCGAAGCATTCGCTGGGTGTTTCGGTGATGAGCATGGGCTGTCGGAATTTCACCCTTCGAATTTTCTCTAGTTGACAGGTTCGGCAGAGTTTGATAAATCTCTCTATTTCCTGCTTCATCCCGGGCCAGTAGAACCTTTCTCTTACTCGGTTGAAGGTTTTCACAGTCCCTTTGTGTCCTCCGGGGAGAGTTGCATGGCATTCCTTAATGATTTCTGGTCTTAGGGCTGCTGGAGGCATCCGGATTCCACCATGGCATAGAGTTACAGTAGCTGGATGGAATTGAAATTCTTTCTCCAGGAAGTATCGTATTCTGATATTGTCGTCTATTTCGTCGCCCTGAGATGCCATTTTTATTTCAGTGATTTTGTATTTTTCCATGGCGGTTTTGAGATTTTTCAGGCAGAGTTTTAGTATCCGGTTGTTGACTTTTTCGAAGTGCCATTGCTTCGCAATGAGGGTAAATGTTCGGAATTTTCCGCACTTCGTGACGATGACTTGACCTAGTTTTGGATTGAGCTTACATATTTCCTCCAGGTCTATCAGATTGAGGTCTCTTAAAAGTTTGGTGTTTTGCTTTTTGATCTCTCCATCTGCTGCGAGGAAATGAGCAATGTTTCCCCTGGTAAATGTTAGTCCATCTCGAGTTTCTTTGATGTTGCTCGCAGGCTGATAGTCACTTTGCGGTATTGTGATCTTGTCGTCCATAGTTTCCTCATTTGATTTGTTCTGAGATATTTCTCCTTGGGTCTGTATGAAACCGTGCTCTTCGCTCGTGGGAAGGTCAGGCGGGAGGAATTTGGGGTATGGATTCAAAGACACCCCCGATGGCTGCGCTGATGACGGTTGTGTAATTTCGTTTGCTTGGGGAATTTCCGCTTCTTGGGAGTGCGTTGCTTGATGGATTTCTCCGGTGCGTGGGAACAGTTCTCTTGGGGTTAGGTCTATTGAAGAATTTTTCTTTTCCGGAGAAGATTCGGCCATAGGTGACTGTATAGCCCTCGGTGTCGGCAGTAAGGATTCTCGTGTGACCTTTGGCTGCGATATCACGGAATGTCTGGATTGAGGTATTTCTTCCTTCTCCGTTTTTTCGGGATTGTGGTCAGTGGAAGTCGTCAATTCTGAGATTTCGTCAGTTGAGTTGATCAGGGGTTTGGACTGGTTTTGCAACTCAGCCATTTTCTTCTCAAATTCTTGACAGGATTCATTCAGTTTTTCTTTAAATTCTGGACCCAGACTGATTCTTCTCATTTTGTAGAGTGGTAGCAGCTTGTCTAGCAATGGCTCTAGGGGTTCCTGGAATATTTCCTCATCCCTTTCCGAGATTTTCTCCATGTATTCGTAGAATTTTTCCAGGTTTCTTTCNCCAAGGTTTCGTTCCATTCGTTCCATGTGCAATGGTGGACGTGGTGTGGGATTTGGTTCTTCATCCTTTTACTCTATTCGAGTTTCCTCTTCAATGATAGAAGGCGTTTCCTCGTCGGTGGAGTTTTGATCTGTGATGAATGTATCATCCTCCAATTTTTCGTCCGTTGGGATTCCTTCAAGGGA